TAAATGCATTCTATTTGTGCACCCAGAAAAAAATTGGTACAATAATCACTCTCCCATCTCTTTGTTCAAGTATATCTTGTTTAACAGTCAAAAAAGTCAGCAAATGAAGTTATCAATGACTTTAAAGCCCAGAGCAACAAAACTCATCACTTATAAGAAAGCTACTTCACAGTTTTCTTATTATAGTTATTTTGATTCTGACTGACTTTTCTGGTGTTCAGATCTGAATAAAACACCATTTTGTTGATCATCTTGGACTTAATTTCCACTCTCATTTCTGAAACCTCATAGACAACATTTTCAGCAGAGTTTATTGCACGTAGATTCACTACTTTTCCATGATGGAGAATGCTTAAAATACAAAACATCTTTTTAAACAATACTGTGCATTCACTGCGTATTTAGGGCAACAAAGCTGGTGAGTGGTCTGGAGCACAAATCTTATGAGGAGCAGCGGAGAGTACTGGGATTGTTCAATCTGGAGAAGAAGAGGCTCAGGGGACACCTTACTGCTCTCTACAATTTCCTGAAGGGAGGCTATGGTGAGGTGGAGGTCGGCCTCTTCTCCCATGTAACTAATGATAGTACTAGAGGGGATGGCCTCAAGTTGTGCCAGGTGAGGTTCAGGTTGGATATCATTTATTCTCAGAAAGAGTGGTGAAGTACTGGCACCAGCTGCCCAGGGAGGTAGTGGAGTCATCATCCCTGGTGGTGTCCAAGAGACATGTAGATGTGACACCGAGGGACATGGTTTAGTGGGAAATATTGGTGTTACGTAGACAGTTGGACCGGATGATCTTGAAGGTCTTTTCCAACTTTGGTGATACTATGATTCTCATGATAATTAAAAACTCTCCTTCCAGTGCTGTGCATAGCTATGCTATAACTAGGGATCAGAAACTAACTGTTTTTACTGTTTCTCACATTTCTTCCCTTCTATTGGCATTAAGCCATTACAAGCACTGACTTCCTACGCTCCACGGTATGTAGATCAATAATTCCATCAGTTTGGCTTTAAAGCTGCAGACTCTGACTTAGAACTAGAGACAGTAATTTTTTAAATCTTAGGTAACTGGGAAACTCTTAAAATTCCTAAAATAAAACAAAATAATGAAAGATACTTCTTAAATATATATATATATATCAGTTCAATACAGAACAACAACAACAACAAAACTGTTGGACTTCAAAACACGACAGCCCAGTATCCTTTATCAACTAAGCATTATCAGCCTACACTGCACAAATGTGCACATTATGTGGACATAACTTTAAAAGATTGAATAAGAATCTCTCAGATTTTATTTGATGTCTGCTTTCTCTGTTCTGGGAGATTGGGACAAAGTAATTCCTCCTGATTTTCAATCCCATGTCAAAAACACTGCTGACATCCCACAGATTCTAATGGACAACTGTCAGAGCAGTATCAAAACCACATTCAATTTTCAGTGTAATTCGTAGTAAGTCTCTTACCTAATATGAGAAAGAAAATCAATACTATGGCCTCATCAACTACAGGAATATTAAAATCTTTTATAAAATAATCTTTGCTGCTTAGAAGTAATATAAAAAGAACTTCAGTTGGCCTACAACTCCACTTAATGCAGTCTGGAATTCTTAATATATGCAGATACTATGTAAAATATTTAAGAAAATTGAAGCTAGTTCAAAAATTCAAAAAATTATCTTCAAGAGAAGGTGAACAGCTGGCTTCTATCACTCTGTATCACAACACAATGTCCACTCTAAGATATTGAGAGATAAAAAGAAAGAGAAACTAAGTTACTATCTCTCTTTGAAAGCTGGTTCCTGGAAGACATTGCATATGAGACTGTGAGAAGCTGACCCTGTGCTGCTGCCTATCTGTAAATATGGGAGTTCAGTCTTCAGGACTGACAATTTGTTCATCTTCAGAACACCAAAATTCAACGATACTAAAAAGAGAATAGCAGTAAGTGGTAGGCGTAGGTGCTTCTTTTAAGCTACCTTCAGAGAATAACATTTAAATGTTGCCTTTGTATATCTGCATTTAACAAAAAATAAAGCTTAGATGTGTACATTCGTATTTATACAAACAACAAACAACCTTGTAATTCTAAATATATCGGTACTTCTCACTAGCAATTTTGAAGGGTATACAATCAAGTACTTCTTATCAAGACTCTTTTCAGCACTATGTGGCTGTAGGCCAAGAGGAAATGGCCACAAACTGAAGCACAGATGTTCCACACAGATGTGCGTAAGGACTTCTTCCCAGTGAGGGTGACGGGAACAGGATGCCCAGGGAGGCTGTGGAGTCTCCTTCTCTGGAGATAACCAAGACCTGCCTGTGCAACCTGATCTAGGGAGCCTGCTTTGCAGGAGAGTTGGACTAGATAATCTCTAGAGGTGCCTTCCAGCCCCTACAGTTCTGTGACTCTGAGATGCTTTGTATTGTACTAACTAATTCTGTATGTAAAAGCATCAAAGAAATTAATAAAAGGTGTCAGGGCCAAACTGCTCTTGAAGCTGAAGACAGCTTTTGCAGCCTCAATAAATGAAATCAATTTAGAGTATAATATCAGAGTAAGTATTCTAAAAAGTACTTTGAAAGAGATAGGTACACTATTTAGATATGCCCTATCTTTGTTCTGGAGAACAAAATCTTTTTTTGCACACTGTCATGGTGTGCCACTGGAAAAAATCTAGTAGCATCTTCTGCTTCAGCACATACAAGACTTGTTAACAAAGGATTTTAAAAGAGCAAGAAACAGAAGAAATAGAGAAATCTTGTTTAGCTTAATGTTCTTTTAAAACCTCCAAAAAACAGTAGAAGAAACAAGCTTCTATAAGATGTTATTGAAGTATTAAAGGTGTAAGTCATAAGATGTTCTGTCTGGTCTTCATCAGTCCACTGTAGTTTAGGTTGGGAGGGGTTGTTTAGAGGATACCTAATGCAACATCTGTTTCATGCCTGGCCAACTTACACTGCATTACTTACAGCCTTTTGCAATTGAGTTCTGGATACCTCCAATGTGATATTCTAATACCTCCCTCAACACTAAGCAGTGGACAGACATTTCAGAAGTGTGACATCAATTCACACCAAAAAATGTATTTTTTAACTGCTATCACGCTCTGAGCAGGTACACATTTTCTATTAGATTCCTTTCCAGTCCCAAACAAGAAGGGATTTTAATTCCAAAGGACATTCTTCTCTATATTTGTCATGTAAAAGTATATTTTCAAACTGGAAATAGTATGTAATACACAAGGATCCAAGAAGCAAATATATTCCCAGGACACTAGAGAAAATCCTTCCTTATGGAATTTGAGTCTCAGTAGGAAAGTACATATCATTAGGCATCAAAGGCATTCTCCTGTCAACAGCTTATAATGCACCTTTGGCTAAAGTTTGTACATCATGAGGCATCCAACTATTGCTCTAGGAGCAATAAGACTAAGTCGCTCTTCATGAAAAGCAGGATTTCTACCTTAAACCTAGGGATTTTGTAAGTCCTTTGTTTTCCTCCTCATTTCAAGAAAGACATGATTTTTAAGTTTAAAACCTCATTGACTATCACATTTTGTAACAATATCATTGAACAGATCTGTAATCAAGTTCCACTACAAATCTTTTCCAAAAGCATTTACTACTTTATTCATTTATTCTTCAGGGCAGTTACTAATTGCAGAGATGGGAATTATTATAAACAAAGAGGGTTTGTTTTCAAGATGGATTTTTTTTGAAAATTAAAATTTCACAAATTTCAAATAGAAATAGATTTTGAAATGTCCAACTGGTCTGCAAGTATTTTTACATGGCAGACAGCTTACTGTAAGTGTAGCAAGATAGCAGAAAGTACAGAGAAAAATAAATTTTAAGAATTTACGTAAAGAACACTTATGGTCTTTGAGAAGACTGAAGAGAAATTAACTGAAAAAGCATTATTTATTAATTATTATTTCTTTCACCCTTCTGTGGGCCGGTATAATCTTACAACTTGAAGGCTATGCACTTCAACTCCCAGTTAATGTAACTATCTCAGAACATTATGATATGGAGCATTTTAATTCTTCTCACCATCTAGTGCACATACACAAACACTGCCAACTACTTTTAATACTTACATACCAGAAAACAATTAATAGAGGGTCCACACAGAACACAGCAAATATGCAAGCTTATTTGTGAGCCTACACAGGCATAAGCTTCTGTGAGTTTGTGGGAGTTATCACAAACACACATACACACCCACGTGCAATGACCAAATAAAATTCAAAGGCTCTTGGAAATAGTTTTCCCCCTTTTTTTTCCTGCACGAGTTATCTTTAAGAAAAATAAAAGATTTTTCACAGTGTCAGTTGACACTTTATATCGTTCATTCAGTGAAAGATGACTCTGAAGACTACTCTGAATCACTGAGAGTAGTGAGCAGTTAGAGAAACAACACAGCATTAAGGAAATAGATTTTCAGATATTCTATTTTCAGAATATCTACTGGTAACATGAAACTACTGTGAACCAAGTATACCAAACTCTATAAAATAGAAATGAGAGACATTCCATTTGTGAATGTAACTGCATAAAACTATTAAAACAAAGCAATAGGCCACAGCATTGCTTTCGTAACTTATCTTATTATACTCAGCTCACTTTATTTTTAAGTATTACCTTAAGAGAAAGTTACTGCACTTTCACTTTTGGTTAAACTGAAAAGATAAATGTAATATGGTAGATAGGACTTTAAGAAAAAGAGAGCACATCATAGAAGAGCAAGTTAACTTGCTCAAACTCATAATCTGAACCAGGTTGTCTCATAAGAAAACAATGTTGTATTGCACAGTGTTCAATAATACCGTTGGTAACATTTCAGACTCTCAAAAGTAATCATAAATAACTTGATTCATAACAGCTGCAAATGAACACAAATTCTGTCAGCTGCCATTTACAAGAATTTAACATATTTTATATATAAATCCAAACAAACTATGCACCACGGATAAAACTAACAACCTACTTTGTAACCTCCGCGTGGGACTCTCGCCATGGAGCTGTCTTCGTGGCAAATATGGTGAGGGATGGGGAAGTGGCAATGAAGAGACATCATGTGTTTGAAGTTTGTACCAATGAGGTTCATCATCTAGTAGTGCTGTCTCTAACTCAATAAGAATCTAAAAGAAAAAAAAAAAGATTAAAAGTAGGAAACCATTATATAACTGCATTTTAAAATAGGAATGTTCATAAATTTTATTCTATTATTCCCTTACTGTTAAGGACTTTGTCTTTTAACTTAATGCATTTGCCTTTTAAAAGTGTTGTTAAAACCCTGCACTTTAAAAGAAGGCATTTTCTATGCCTTTCTAATACTAAATACACAAAATTTTTTTCACATGGCCCTTATCACCTTACAGCAGTCTTAACAGTATTCAAACAACTTGTAGAGAGTTACAAGTTACAGCACCATTTCAATATTCTGTTAAAATAAAAGTATGTGAAATGCAGATTTTATTAAACATTTCTCAAACAAATTGAGTGCATCCAGTTACTAAAACAGAAGAAATATAGAAAGAATCTCAAATCAGTACTATCTGCCAAGTACAACCGAATGAAATAAGGACAAATTAACAATTTTAAACATCTTTGCTTTGCTAATGATTACTTTATTAAAAAATACTGCATCCTAAATATGAATATGTGGACTAATGTATTCCTGTAATAAGTACCAATAATTGTATACCTCTCCTAAAAATTCACTTTCTTCCTCCCGAACTCGTGCTTGGTCCCAAAGGGTAATTTCTAACATTCGTTCTCTAAATTCTCTCCGATGAACTGGAGAATAAATAAATGTCTGGTTCCACTTGGGTTCCAATGTTTTCTTTACTGTTTTTGTTCTTCTTTTATTTTTATCACTGAAACAAACAAACAAACAAACAAAAATAACAACAACAACAAAAAAACAACAAGGATTAAATATAAACTGTAAAAAATGTATCATGAAAAGCAGCAAATCTTAAACCAGCAACATATTGGGTAGTGTTATGGAAATACTCTAATAATGTATGTCAGTTTGTTCTTGATACAACGAAGTTCAATGTATGTATTGGGGATAATTTGTTACTTGAAATGAAACTCTGAAGTTAGCTGATTTCACAGTTTGCATGTCAATTCCAAATTTAAGAAATTCCCTCAGAAAGAAGAAATTGTTTTCTATATTTGTTTTGAAAACAGTAAACATGAATTTTTCATAAATACATGTATACTTCTATGGACAGGATTCCCATGAGTCATAGACCAATAGTACCATGCATGAGCAGACAACGCTGGACACAGCAAAAAACTGCATTTCAGATAAGTAAAGCCAGTTAAGACACCAGAAGCCCTGGGAATATGTTACATAAGCTCTTCCAGCAACACTCAGAAACAGTGGTCTCAAAACAGTTTCCAAGACAATCCTTTGGGTCACCAAGCTGAAGGCAGATCTCCACCATGAGACGAGCCTGACTTTTCGGAGCCTTATGCACGGCTACCGTGGGAATACTGGTCAGGCTCAAGGGTTTGCTGAGAGTGGTGTGTTTTCCAGAATATTTCTGCTTGCAAGAACTTGTATATTCTGACGAAAATGAGTTTCACTAGAAAATACCCGCACTCCTTTTATTGACAATATTGAGAAGAATTCTCTGAATAATGCTTAATTTTAAACCTGCTGATTGACACTTATGCAGCTGTGGCATTAAAATTAATGTGGATTTTTTAATATGGCAATGAAGTACTTGCATACTTTGGAAGTACGTACAATTGTAATATAGTTACTATATTTATGAACAGTTACTTAGAAACTGGGTCAACAGATTAACTAAGACATAATATTTTTAGACACATTATTAAAGCAAATAATGCAATTATTATATTGCAATAAAAATTCATTTACCCTTGAAAACTGAAATAAGTTACAGTGGACAAGCTTTTCCATTCAAATCTGTTTAATCAAAGAGAATTCTGTATTTTCATCTAATTAAATGCTTGACTTATATAAGCGTATTTTACCTCTAGCACGTTTTCTTCTCTAACACAAGAAATATATTTTGCTTACTTAGCTTTTACTTCTGAGGAAAATAAAATGAATTTTCCTGCCATATGACAACTTGCTGATTCTTATATATTTGATAGAAAACATGTTTTAATTTCAAAAAGTTCTGAACATTTCACATAAATAGGAAGAAGACGAAATAATTCTTGTGAAACACCAATTACTATTAAAAAAATAAATCCATTTCACTTGCAATTTTTTTTCCTGCTTTGAATGGGAGAAACCAACCAGCTGGTCTGATCAGTCTAGAAACTGTGAACCTATTTTTGCAGCATTTTCTTTGCTCTAGACAGGAATAACTGTCATAAAGAACACGGGTATTACAGAACACTAACAACATGCTTTGCAAATAACAGTTTCACATGCAATATCGTACACCTGCCTTTACTTTTCTATTCAGCATTTAACAAAATAGCCAGTGAAGGTCAGTTAATATTCAGTGTCCAAAGACATACTGTTGTTACACAGCATACTCTATTAAGGAACTTCAAACTGTAATATATTTCCTTAAGTGTATGACAGGTAAGCTCAGCTAATTCTTACTCAAACACTTCTTGTCCTTCTGTTCACCTTACCTTCTGTCTGGAAGAAAATAAATTTTAACATAAGGATTCCTTGGCCTCCCATCTTCCCTTGAAGGAAGATCCTTTGCTCCCAGTATTGTCACTATTAACTGATGACCAACCTTGTCGTACCACAGTTTTATCTGTAATGAGAAAATATTAATTAGTGGACTCATTTCTAAAACAAAGTACCATATTAATTTTTAAATTAAATTTACTCATTAGCTTCTATTTACACTGGTTGCTTAAGCACAAAACATTGCGTACTAGTTTGTAGTAAAGCAGAAAGATATATTCATACTATAATAGCTTCAGAATGTACCTGGAGTTACTCATTTTAGAAGCTTGTATAATGAACATTATTTCATACTGTTTTTTTCTCATGGTATTAGGGTTAGGATTATTGTTTCTTGGCAGCATAATGCATTACTTGGTAATGCAATGTGTTACTCGCACTACTGATGTATGGTATTCATATGTATACATTTCTAGGTATTTTATGCACAATGAATGAATGAATGTTTATGCCCTGCTGTGCTAGAAAGACCATGGGATAAGGTAAGAATAACCCCCCAAAGTTGTAAGAGAGAGAGAGGTTCAGTAGAACAACTCTCTTCCCAATCAAATTCAGCAACAGCAAGGCAAAAACTAGCATTACTATCTGTAGAAATCATTATTAAACAGTCTTAGACTTTATCTAGCAAACATTTTCACTATGTTCATTAAGTGCTGCTGTTTAGCTATTCTAGTTTGAATAATATAGCCACAAATGTATCATTCAAGGAGAGGATACACCTACTTTACAGCACTAATTCTAACAGGGGATATGGAGCAGGTAGGGCAAAACAAAGCTTTTCAAACAGCCAGGGAGATATTACATGGGGGTACCTGTGAGATAGCGTTAACTGCAACTGACAGAGAAAGCTCTCTTCACGGTTTGATGGTCATTTAAAGAAGTTCCCTCCCTGAATTTATGGGAATGAGAGTAATGCCTGGCTTCACAACAAAGCAGAGTACGTTTAAGCACAGATACACTCTAGATAAGGTATACATCAATAAACCCCAGCTAAGGTAAACATCAGAGCTATATGCACTTTCTGTGGAGCATTATTTCAGATACGGGATCTTCATCTGCTACTACAGCTTCTCATCTTCAGCATTTCAGTGATTTAGAGAAAGGTCTTGACACAATTCTTAAGACTTCTGACCAATCAACAAGAGGCTCATTTAGCTTTCAACTGTTCCTAATTAATGAAGTAATTGAGATGAGAGTAAGACATACCAACTCATTTAATGGTGGGAGTGTACTTCTTCCTATACCATCAGAGTAGGAAGAAGTAGCTATTCCTATACCTATCCTGCAGCCACCAATGAGCAGCATTTGGACTTCAGAAGAGGGTGGATAGAAATCCACTATTATCATGTTATTGGCTCTTCTACTAACTTTGTATGTTTCTGGTACCAGCGGTAAAAGGGTTTTGTGACTACTGAAGTAGAAAATAGTGTGAGAGAAATTAATAAGTTTCTAGAGACATTTCTAGATGTTGTTCTTCCATGCCTGTAAAGCAAGGGAATTTGTCAATATTTCTCTAAACTGATAATATCCAGACTACAGATCTGGTTTACAGATAACAAGTAGAAAGCTTAGCACCAACAATATGAGCATCAATGATATGAACTCGAAGAGAAGCTTTGTTGACCTCTGCAGTGCATGTCAAATTACATGATCTCTGACCCTAAATCAATCCTCCTCCTGAAGGGAGTCCTCATCTGCTCTTAAGCACTAGGCTAATCCTACACACCAAGGGGAGATGCACTGAAGAAAATCTTCATCACCTGCCTTTTTCAGGTGAAAAATTAACCTTCCTTAAGCAGAACCCAATGTATTTATGATCCACAAATTCAATGAAGTTAACACAATCCACACCTAAATCCAAAACAATGCAACTACAATTCTTCACTCATATTTAAGCTAAATATTTCTTTGCTATAGTTGTTTGACTGGATTTTTGCAGGAAGACTTTGCCAAAATGGTTTGGAGAATGAGACTGAGGGGAATGTTAAATCACCTAACGCTACGTCTTTGAGATGCTCTATTGTCTGTGTTTTGCCACAAGAATTCAAAATTTGCACTAACACACATCTAATACTCTTCTATTAATACTCTGACAAAATTTGAAAAAAAAATGTACATAATAGGCATACTGTCTCAGTAATTCCTTACTGGCCAGGTCAGGAGGCAGAATTATGACCAAAAATGTTAACATTCATCATACAGAAAAAAACACTTGCAACCCAGGAATTAATTTGGATGAAAAGATGAGAAGGAAAGAAAGCTAGAGTGCAAGAATGGATGAAGAATTCCTTGGAGGGGACGATGGGTTTGCATTCTCATGGGTTCAGAAGAAGGAAGGTGGGAACCATAAGAAACATAATGACTGGAAAAGTAAAATATAATGGATGTTTCTTGGTGGAACACAGGAACAACCGAGTCATTGACATCAAGGACCAAAGAAGAGGGGAAAAACTGGACTGGATGAGAAAAATTGAATGAGTCAACAAATGAGGAACAATCCAGGTCCTAACTGGCACAGAAGGCATTGCATAGTTAGATTAAAAGTGAAGAAAATACGATAAGAAGTCAGGACAGGAAATTGTAAAAGAAAGTGAGAAAGAAGGAATTAGGATAGCATACTGAATATGAAAAATGGGTTTGGGTGTAGAACTGACCTAATTCTGTCTCATTTGCACGTGCCTTATGACATAACATCCAGATGGATGGTATTTTCCTCAAAGAAGCTTTTCTTTTCTATTCATAAAAAGTTCAATTAAGACTTTTGTAGCCAATTGCAGTCTGATTCCATCCCTCCTTCTTTCCCAGAGGCCTTGTGTGTTGGAGGGTGGTACTGTTTATAAATAACATATTCTTCACTGTCTGGAAGCTTGGGCTGAGGCTTTGGAGTCTAAACTGAAGTACTACGAAGTGTTTGAATTGAAGTCTAAAGTATGTATTACATCTGAACAGTGCTTATGTCACTGAAAAATCAGAAGCTGGTTGTCTCAGATTTTGATGATAAAGTCTCAATTCTTTATTGAGAAATGCAGAAAAATCCTACTACACCTCAGATAATATCGTATGAATTTCATATAGTGAAATAAATATGGGATACTATGTGTATAACAGGAAAGCTGGTGAGAAAATGATTTTTTTTTTCTTTATAGTATTGTTAAGCAGTTTTGTAGAAAAGATTCTTAACGCTACAGAGTGAAGAACACTGAATAATTATTCAATCCTCACTGCGACTCAGTGAGACAAGAATGCGCAGGTACTGTGAAGCTCAGCACCAATAACTTAAGCAGCTGAATAACAGAGGAGAATCTACAAATCTTCAAGTAAAAGCTTAGACTATTTAAGAAACTGTGACACGTGCACTCCTGATCTAAATGGGGGAAAGAGAAAGCCAAAATTACAGCATAGAAAATGCATCACAGAAAAACAAGATGGCTGATGAGCTGGTGCATATGTGGACTAACCAAACCTGTAAGAAACATCTAGAATAGAACTTTGTCAATCTGGATAATTTAGGATCTCAGCAACTACAACTTAATCTAGTCAGAAAGTGATTCCATCTGAAGGCTTTCTAGAGATATTTTTCCTTAATGCTGAAGTCCTGGAACTTATAATTAGCCACACACACGCTCACATGCTGTCCTTCCTTAGGCAGATGCACACCTAATGCTTGACTAAATTTCTGCTGTGACCTACATTCAGGCAAACAGATATCTGAACACAATAAACCCTGAAACTGTGAGATGGTCTGTCATCCATAGAGCTCAGCAGATGCTGAACTCCTGGAGATGGACTTCCAGGTAGAAACACCTGATGTACAAAGCAGAATAAACAAGAATACTTCTGTAGACAGATGATGAAGGTACCTTTTAGGGGTAGAAAAGTGGGGGCTGAGGGGCTGAGAGTCTGGTCCTAGTTTCAAGAATTTTGATTTTTATCCAATATTGATACAATGCTAGATCAGTGCACGTTCTAGTTGGCAGGTCTGGAATCTGATACACTAAAATTAAGCTTCTTTCGCTATCACCACATCACACACTTGTATTCATGACCACAGAATATCTCAGCTTCACATAAGACTTCCTGCTCCAGGGAAGAAAAGGATGCTAAAGGCATTTCTCTGAGAGACAGATTCAATTTCTGTAGCCTAAAAAGAGCTTAGAACAAAGACGTACATTTTCCAGAATGAGTTTCCCACATATAAAACATTTTATAAAAGTTGACTGTTGGTGTATTCTAAGAAATAAGGATGCAGAAATCTATTACTGCTGTTTGGTCTTCTGAAGGCTCAGAAGAAGAGATGGACATCTCTCTCTGGAGAGGTGACTCACACTCTGGAGTAGCCTAAGTTTCAAATAGACTTATGGGGATGTGTCCTTTATTTGGGCTGGATCATTCTCTGCAGATACTGAGGCACCTACTTCTTTCCTTCAACTGCCAAAGTCTAAGATCTTCCACAAGGCACCTCAAGCTAGTATAAATTTAAATCTACACATTAAGCTAACAAATTCACTGTATTAGATTTCATCCTTTTTCGTTCAGATCTTGTCTTAACTAAAAACTTTTTAATCAATGTAGTAATTAAGATCAGAGTTCTAGAAAAAAAAAGTAATCATGTAATTAGGATCTATACTCTAATAAATATGCATAAGGGAAATCAATTATGAAAATCTAGATAATATTATTGTCATTTCCCATATTCCTCTTTCGTGCATGCTGACTGCTTGAGTGCTTAACAAATTCTAATGTGGTTTTGTGTATTCCACATACAGGCACATGGCATCATAAGTGACAACTTCAGATTTAAAAACAGAATACATTTATACATTCTGTTCTACATTTTATTTCTTTAAGTCTTACTTCATGAATCTTATGGACAAGAGAGACAATTCGTACCACTGGAACTGAATTCCTGCCCTGCAGCCTGAATTTTACCATCCTAGCCAAGGAACTACTCAAACAATGCTAGGTTTGAGAAACAGATGACAAGGCATTTTTGCTCTTGTGGTGTTCATTACAATATTTCATATAACCTACATAACTGTTTATTAGCATTATTCTTTGAAACTGAGA